AGTGGGAATCTCTCGCGCGACTATCCCATTCGCAGAGAAACAGCAGTACTTTGTGTATCCAGTCTGCAGACCAAGCAAGACAGCAACAACCTTCAAATCACCGCAAAACTGCCACTGATGTTGGTCATAGTGTATGCACCTCAAAAGTTTTTCATGTTGTCATAGTTTTCCTTCATAAGGACTGCATGACCAACTGTAATTGACGGCAAAACATTGCCATTACGCAGCAAAACAGCTTTAACTCATCTTCGATGAATCAATGAACAGTCTCCACTCATCTGGATCATGAACGAAGTTGAGGCAGGCTACAAGATCACCTTCCATGAAAAAGAATGGGACAAGATCCTTTTGACGGTCACGGAACATGGAAACCCAAACATCATCTACCAGGAGATTCCATTGCTGCAGTCTGGAGCCCAACAGTTCTGCCTTACTCGTGGGTAGTTACAAATCCCTGACCAGGTATTTCAGTTCACCTTGTGTTATGTGGTGTGGTTCAGAGGAGGATGGGAGAAAATCTGGGTCATGTGACCTTGATGGTTCAGGACCAGAAGTTTCATCCTCTTCCTCGTCTGACTCGAGTGAGAATGATTCTGGTGCATGAGGAACCGGCAGTCCTTCTCCATGGGGTAATGGGCGTATAGCTGATGGAATGTTTGGATAATGCATAGTCCACTTTTTCTTCTTTGACAAACCTTTCTCAAATGGAGGCACCATGCAGAAGTAACAAAAATCCTGATATGATCTGTTGGCTCTCTCCAAATCATTGGCATTGCAAAAGGCATAGATTTCCTGTTCAACCACTGGCGACGATTTGTTGTAAAGTGATCTGGCGGTGGCTCTGTGATCTTACATTGACATGCTAATCTCTCACAATACAATGGCCACCTCCGCAGCTCCGTCGTCGTGGAGGTAGCTCAGCTCTCCGATCTTACATTCACATGCAAATTTATTCACTAGCCCCGCCCACTTATGACCCTTGGGCTACACCCATCTCAAACCTTTATAACATCTTGCCTCAGCAGCTCTCTCGCTATTTTTTCACCTGATGACGATTGCTTGTGTTGCGATCGAAACGTTGTGATATTTGTATTATACAGGTAGGAACAACAGGTTCCACACTGCCCACCAGGGATTATTTGTCTGTCTGTCTGTCGTGCATATCCGGAATTCCATCCGCATCCGCCCCCCGTCTCGGTCGAACACGTCGTCTTCGTCCCGAGGTACGGAAGGCTGTTCCCGAACGACTTCCGCTGCTTACAACCTGGGCAGTGGTTGAACGACATCATCATCATCATCAACCTGTTCGGGCAGTTCTACTGCCTGCCGCGAGCGGCAGACGTCCACCTGTTCAACACGTTCCTGTACACGAAGTTCTTGGTGGGCCATCTCGACGACTTTAATCGCGTCTTCGATGGCGTGTCTTCCAGGCCGGTGTGGATTATACCGATCCACGAGCAGCCGCACTGGCAGATCTTGGTCATCGTCAACGCCACGTGCCCACCAAGGTCGACTGCCATGCTCTTAGACTCAATGGCTGCGCGGGGGCAGTCGCGCAACGCCAAGAGCATCGCGGCCTTTGCCAGCGCCGAACCGGCGAGCACGCAGGTGGCGATCGCCACGGTGTTTGTGCCGCAGCAACCGAACGGCTATGACTACGGCATCTACGCCCTGCTCAACATCGTGCACCGTGGTGCGCGATCACGACGGCATCGTCAGGTGGATTGGCGCGCGTGGTACACGCAGGAGGCGGCGTCACAGCACAGGCGCGACCTGCTGCTGCAGCAGCTGCATGAACTTAAAGACCAACATCAGCAATAAATCAAGAATCATCATCAGATGCAATAGTAACAGCTGCAACCTCCAACACGACTATGTTATCCAACACGGATCGCACGAATTCGCTGTCCAACCAAGTTCCTACCTGCCCACTCCGAAGGAACGTGTTTTTGTTTATCTACGTGGCTTTACCGAAAGACCCAAAGAATATGAATTCCTGCAGTCACGAAAGCTTTAAGTCAAAACTCACTTAACCTCCGCCATTCCCAAGTCGAGGGTCGTATATACTGGCCCAGTAGCATATCTTAAAAACTAGAGCCAATCGACAATGCGAGCTCATCGTTAGTCAGGGCATCAAAGTTCAGTAGCGATGTTCCCTGAGGTGCAGCAGTACTGACAACCACCACAAGCACGGGCAGCAGCATCAGCATTTCCTTCTTGTGCCACTTTCTCCTCCTCCCCTCCTCCCTTTCCACCAGCCCACACTCAAGCATCTCACAACCCGTTAAAAATCTGTTTCACTTTTTTTTTAAAAATAGGCTGTTACTACCTTTCATATATGTACGGTAGTATTGTAAATACAACCAGTGAAAGATGTGGACGTAAGAATGAGGTTCGACAGCATACTCTCACTAACACCAACCATTTCCTTTATTTCTTACAGGAATTTTTTGTTTAATTTACGCAATTTTCAGGTACGCGCCATTTTCAAGAACACAAACCGAGAGGTAGCTGTACTGATTTTATCAACCCTGGAGAATTTAAAATTGTAACCTTGCGGGTTGCGAGCTGGGCCGAGCGCTCTGAGCATGGTGAAACCCGACGGCTGTGTGGTAGGGAAGTCAGCGTGGGAGGGGAGCTGTTTTGGAAATTCTTACCCAAAACAACAAAAAAGTTACTTGGTTTGTAAGAGCCGGATCTCGTATTGCAGTCAACATGGGGAACGTGACTTGCGGCGAGAGAAAGTCGGCAGCGTCAGGACACGCGTAGAGCAGATTTCCATTACGTATAAATAAATACTTCACAGCCCTTGTTGAAATATTGCAAGAATAGTGTTTATTCAAGCTTCGAATATTCAGTTTCACAAATAGAAACAATATTGGTTACTTTTGGCATCTTACTCGTGGTGTATTTACATTATTTAATGTAATTATTCATGCGGCTTAATAGCAGCGGCATGGCTGGGCCCCGGCCAACAATCAAAAAAGCGCGCGCACCATATCCCAGGGGTTGATTATATATTTACGATTCAGATTATTATGACTACTACTATGCTTGTTTATCCAGGAAAATATCACCGAGTCTCGTGACTTCTCTGTCAGGAGGGTCCTTTCGAGGTCTCGCAGTCGTGGGTGACGACTGCTTTGTACATTCTAATTGAGTAATTTGCAGGTAATTTTTTTAAAAAATTTGGACCGTGACATCAGGCACAGATCGGACGACTCGCTCGAAGAACATCACAGTACCTTTAACGTCCACTGTGAAGCTGACTGTGTGCGTTGCTCTGGCTACTTAGACCTGCAGTATTGCACCAGGGTGGCCGCTGGATTTGAACGGTGAACCTCTGTAAAAAAGCGGGAACACACTACCGCAAGGCTTTATCACCACCCCAAAATTAAATAATTACCCGTGTCTGGGAAATAATTAAATAACTACCGGTGTTTGGGAAATAATCACGGGTCATCCCGGGCAGAGAGTGGCCGATTCGGACGTTGGCTACGTACGGTGCAAAAGAAGTTCCAAATACATAGGTGAAAAATTGTCAACCCAGACTCTGATGGGTGCTCCCTTTTGGGTCGACTAACTTCTACGGCTGTTCCTTACTTCAAGAGACTAAACCCTCCACGATCACACAGTGCTCCACTCTGTTGTGTCTATATAGTCTCAAGATGTGTGTGTGTGTGGACTCAGAGGGGTATACATAGACACAAGAGGTGGACTAGACAAGATGAAGAACAAACCAAACAAGTTTGATTACGGTTTCGGCGAAACCACATTTCATACAGAAACACAGGGCAACATCTACATTCAAGATAGATCAATATTACTTTTTGACACAGACCATAAATGGAGAGTAAACCCAGAACATTTGCAATTTGAGTACGTCGTTTTGCCGGTAATTACCTTACTAATTGCCTGTGCCGGGTGGTGGTGGGTTTAACGACACATTGATTATGGAGTGTCCTGTTGTAAAGAAGCAGAAGCCAATCATGGGTCACGGATATAAAACAAAAAAACATTCACAGGTGACGAAACCAAGACTACCAAACGTGAGAAGTAGTTTACGCTTTATTTTGGGTGTCCGGGTTTGAACCCAGGTTCTGAGCAATGCTCACCGAGGGATCTTACATAGGCAGGAGCGCCCTGGGACACAGAATCGCCTTGATCTCAGTGCAGTCAGTTGGACATGCCCCAGCACACCCACGTGAACGCTGTATTTCTTTGCAGGACAAAAGAACAAAGAGGCCGTCACATACCAGTCAAGTGCAGCTACAGAGATCAAGCCGATAAAGGATGCGGGTTTTCAAAGGCTGCACGAGGGATGCGTGCGTATGCTTGGAATACACACGGCGCGCTATCTTTCGACTTACCACATGAAAAAAACATCTATTTGCGTAAAAACTATCAAAAGTTGGTTTGTGACGGGATATCTTTCAGTTCCGATGTGTCACGAGTTGAGAGCTATGCGTGGAGATATCGGCCGATAGGACACCTTTGTTTGGTTGTGTCCATTCACTTTCTGATGTTCAAAGATTATTTTTTAAACATTATGATGCTTGAAGATCCAAGAAGGCCTCCGAGTCTCGTGACTCTTTCTAATCAGGATCCTGCCAAGTTGTCGCAGTAAGGGATAATGATTGCGATGTAGATTCAAATTGAGTAATTAGAAACATGTGCCAATATCAACGGTTTCAACAGATAAATATACACCCACAAGGCAGTGCCAGTCAATGGCTATGAACAGTAAGAGCACTGGGCCACTGAGCAAGTGCATTTTAAGTGTTAGTTATGGCAGCGGTGATAGTTATGGCAGCGGTGTTAGTTATGGCAGCGGTCCCCAACCTTTTTGGCACCCGGGACCAGTTTCGTGGAAGACAATTTTTTCACGGACCGGGGAGGGGGGGGGGGGTTCATCATTGGGTCTTTCCCCCTTTTCAAAGAAGCTCTCCAACGACGTTTTTTTTTTACTCATTGTGGCTACTAGGGGTTAGCTTGTGGGTTTACCAACACTGTGACTGTGACTGAAAGATACGCGGACAGAAGTGGTAAATAAAATAATGGGCGGGCCACGCGCGGACTCACCGCTCACCTCCTGCTGTGCAGCCCGGTTCCTAACAGGCCACGGCCCAGTATCGGTCCGTGGCCCGGGAATTGGGGACCCCTGAGTTATGGCATTCGGCAAATAAATTGCATAAAATAGAGATTCCTCCAGTCTAAAAAAAGATTCTGATTCTGAGCTGCGCCTCACTGGAATGGCAGGTGGGATGTTGTGACATACCGATGGATTTACAGCAGACGTTTCTATGCGACAGTTTAAATTCCACGTTGGTGTCACGTTTACATTTTACATATAAACGAGTAAGCCGTTTGCATCGGACCCACATTTACATATATAGCAGGGGACACAGCACACGAAGAGTCAGACCAGTCCCCTTCAGGACTTAAAGGGTTCAGTTTTAAAGCCAGAGGCTTGGAGAGCCAGAAGTATGACAACCTTGGGATTCTTGGAAGTCACGTTAATGCCAAGGCTCAAGACGATTTTAAGATGAAGATTCCATGGGGAACCACCTGGTAGTTAAGAAAGTCACAATTACATAACAGTTAAATCTTGACTTTAAGCTTTTGTGACTGCAGGAATTCATATTCATTGTGTCTTTCGGTAAAGCCACGATCGCAACACAAGCAATCATCACCTGATGACGATTGCTTGTGTTGCGATCGAAACGACATATTTTTGTATTTTTTTCTATCTACGTGGCTTTACCGAAAGACCCAATGAATACATAACGATTGTAAACACACAATCCTAAGACATTGTCAAATATGTCATTTTAACTTATGGGAACGTGACAAAGTGCAGATTGTAAACAACGAATTGTACTAAAATTAAGGAAGGGAGAAGTTCAGTGGTTAAATTGAGGAAGGCTCTACGATGATTAGCGCAGGCTTTACAATGCCCCTACCACCCACGATGGGCGCTCTTCCCCATCTGGACATCTGTGACTATTGGACATCTGTGAAAAATAGCTGTATAGCTCATTGGATTCCTCCAGAAAAAATAAAGATTCTGATACATCAGTGGTCTTCACTACGAGGCCTGTGGGGCACTGGTGGCCCCTGGTGACCTTAAGTGCGGCCCCTGACGTGCAACCCCCGACAATACACTCCCCATCATCGTGCTGCTGTCAAACCCCCAATAGTTGCAAATGTGTGACGGTCGGTGCTCACACTGATGTCTTATCGGTAAAATTTGCCCCCCCCTCTGAAAATTAGTGAAGAACACTGGACTACATTATCAGCAGCACAGGTAGTATCTGCAGGAATGCCACCGTGTAATACTGAAGCCGTTTGCCTCCTATGAACTGATCAACTCCTGATTTTTGCTACCTTAAACAATGCTGCTCATCCCAGAATGCACTGTGCAAATTTACCGCAATAATTTTCGCGAGAGCGATCCAGTGAAATTTTACAAGAATACATACTGGTATCGCATTTATTTTACATTTTCAATCTTGCCTTTTGCCAACTAGACAAAGCAAAACATGTTATCCCCACAACTGTTAAGAGTCACACATTACAATCTGAACAACTCATTTGACAACATTCCGGTTGCAATTCTCCAATGGTCTATTTTCCACAACCAGCACACCTCTGTCTTTAGCTGTGCAAATGCGCAAGTGGTTCATGCCATGCCCATTTGACGCGTATGCCTTTTGGAGCTAAACTCGTCTGAATTCCATGCCAAAGCAAGCTTTTACAACGCCCATTCTCGTGCATTCACTGGTGACCGAGCTATGCAGACCACAAACATCACGACACACTTGCAGGATGTAATCGTAGTGGCCACTTGGAATTCCAAACCAGGAGTTTGACGGCGCTGGCTCTCTCCCGCCGGGGAGGTTCTCAGCGACCGCTCTCTCCGTCCTCTCCTCCTCCCTCTGCGCCGCCCCCCACGGGGATGGGTTCCACGGAGTCGTAGTGCTCCCCCAGGCCGTAGGCGTGGCGCATGTAGCTGTGGAGTGGGGGGGGACGCACGGTGTTCAGAAACCACGACGGTGACAGCATGGGCTCATGTAGGCAAGGGTCATTGCTTCATTCGGAAATGTGCAAATGATTAGAAAACCCATTGCAACAGAAACATCAATGCAGCTTGGAGTAAAGGATATTAACAACACACAAAGGTGTGCTGTGTATGTACAGTGCCGCTGCCTGTTGGGATGGCCACATTTTCTCAACCCTTTGAGTTAGTGGTCTAAATGACAACATTTTAACACGTTATGAATAAATGACATGTCCACATTATTCAGTTCTTTTGTGTGGGTAGCGCTGGCCACGTGGGTGCTGTCGGTGTGAGCCTACATGAGTGTGATGGGCGGAACGTGGTACTCGTCCCCGATGGTGATGGTCGGAGCGCTCGCCTGCACCACCTCCAGGGGCGTCTCCAAGGCATGAGACAGGGCCCGTAGCTGGTTGCGTAGCACCACATACACACAAGTGGAACACCATCACTCCTGCACCCGCATATAATGGCTCAATCGTTGAAGGAACCGCACTTTATGGTCCATAAATACAATACTCCCCTCTTAGTAGCTTGTATTGTCAGACCAAGGAGCTATTAGTGAGCTGTTAGTGAGCAGCCGTGAAGGCTTGCCCAAAAATGTTTGGTTTGGCGCTGTAAAACCAAACACATACCATCACGTACCCACACACTCAGATATGTCCATATAAACAAAGACAAAGTTCCCCCTGAAAGCCTGTAACAGACTGTTGGGGCAAGTGCTGTTAGCGAGTACCTATGAAAGCCAGCACAGCACACGAGGGGGTGGGTGGCCAGCACCACGCCCGGCCGCCTTTGTCCATACATACCCAAACACACCCACACACACATGGTGTGTGTGTGTGTGTCGTGGCCTCTTACCTCCAGTTGGCCTCCCCACGCTGCTGTCTTCTCCACCTCATCGCAATATTTATCAAACTCCTCTGCAACACATGCAATGACAGCGAGATTGCCGAGGGTGTTATGCACATTAGTCATTGTGTTTAAGCCTTGCAGTTCAGCGCAGCAATGCTAAACTACAGAATGCATTCAAGCATGGCGAATATGGTAATCGTCTATGCTTGAATGCTAAAACACCCATGCAAATTATCTCGTCGTTACTTTACATATTTTCCCAGGAGAGAGGATATTCTATTAAATTCAGCTCTTATAAATAATGGTTGGGATTGTTTTTCACCAGACTTCCACCGTACAGCTGGAGACAGATCCCACTGGATAACAAAGTCATATGTCTCACAGTTTGCACAACTAGACCACATATTTTTTTTCTATTCCTGTTCAAATATAAACCTCAGAGCTACACCACGATAAATTAAATGTTCCATAGGTATCTATGGGAATTTTTTTCAGTCATTGAATCTCAAAACAAACGAATCCAGTTTAAACTGCAATAGTTTCTCTCTATTTGAAACCAGGACCGCAGTGATGATGGTTCATTGCTCAGACAAAAATTCACCTTAAACCGCCTGGTCTACACATTTAAAACATTTTGCATCATTAGATGTGTAGGAAATAATTGAATATATAAAATAAAATTTTCATGGCCTTTACAACTACGGTTGAAAGCAGTCATACATTAGCTCCTGATTTCGGTCTATCTGCGCACCTTTGACATGTCGCATTGGGTCACAATAACACCATACATACCGTCTGGTATAAATTAAACGCGAGTGTAAATCATATTTATTTATTTATACTGGAGGAATCTGATGAGCTCTTTTGCACAGATGTCCAGGAAAAGTTGTTGTTATAAGAAACTTACTGTTCGAAGGGTTACCAAGACTTGGTGATAAAATAAAACCCAGCAATGGAAATCCTGAGCCAATGCGATGAAATCACACGCCATGTATGCCCCCAGGATAACATCATAAAATGCGATGTCATCTCGCGACATCACACGTCATGCACTCGCCTCCACTCAGGATACACATAATTACACACGACATCTCGATTATCACTCGTTAAATACGACCGTGGACAAACCTACGTTTGGAGAGCATACAGAGGCTTATGCATATTATTATTTTTAGGCCGACACACGTGCACAACAACAACCGCCGTTCACCTCTAAGCGGTGGTGATGTCACTATGGCGCTTGTGCCATGCTAGGTGCACTTTGGGGCCACGTGAAGAGTTGAAGGCCCGCTGGCAGAAGGTCACGGAGCAGACCCAGGTGCCATGGGTTGAGTGAATGAGATGACTCGCAGATGCACCAACTGTGTTTCCCACTCTGTGAACTTTCTCCATTTTAGCCACCTGGCACTCTCCTTGTTGTTGTGAGCATCGCTCCTCTGCCCTCCATTGTTGCTGGAGGGCGACTGCCTCCAACTCCCCAGCAGTAACCTTTATGAATCTCCTTGACAGAAGCCGCTCTTGACACTGCTGATACCAGTCATCATCAAGTCCAATCAGCTCCACATCCTTCTGTATCATATCAGTCCATCTCTTCTCGAGCCCGTACCATGCCCGTTTAGCCCCATATATCCGGCCAATCAGAAGCTGTTGAGGCATGCGGTGGCTGGGCATGCGGGCTACATGACCCAGTCAACGAAGCCTTGCTTGCCAGAGGAGCTCACTGATGGGATTGTTTAGATCTTTCAAGGAGTTGTGAGCTTCTCATACAATCCAGGGCAAAACCTTGTCCGAGAAGACCCCGAGCTTTGTGTGGAGTGAAAGACCAGGTAGCTTTCGCAAAGCATGACGCACCTTATGACTAGAATAATGCCGCTCGATACACACACGCACACACGTACCATCTGTGTACGCCTCGCCCGTGCCAGCCTGAGTGAGGAATGGTGCAAACTCGTCGCGGTGCTGCCGTATGTAGCTCGCGGCACGCGTCCTCAACTCGGCGACGGACAGCGCGGGGCCCGCCCGTGCCTCCAGCTGGTGCCGTACGGCCGCGTACATGCAGTGGCCATCGGGCGGCACGGGCCGGGCGTGCAGGCCACGGGCGGCCAGCAAGTCGGCCACACGGCGGCCCTCGAGGTGACGCGCGCCGTGAGTCAGCTCGTTCAACTCGGCCGCCACGATACGAGCCTCGCGTTCCCTCTCGCTCGCAGCCTTCTTGTCCTGAGCGGGGGGCGGCAGGGACGAGAGTGAAGCAATGGCATCAGCCGTAATAACCTACCCGCAGTGCTTTTGTAAAATACATTGACTCTTCGTGCGAATAAGTTGATCCCTGACCAAGACTGATTTGCATATTCTAATCAGAGCACCATCCACGCAGATATAACACGGTGCAACCATTCATGAAACACCTGGAAGCATGGCATTTAACACTCTTTACAGGGCATGCGAGTGTGTGTCATCTCGTGTGGATAAGAGGCCTATTGAAGACATTTCAGAGGTGATTCTGTGGTGTTATCATCTCAGGCCATTCCCTAACACAGGGTGATGCACTGCTGCCTGCAAGAATCCTGAATGAAAAATTATTTGCCTGATGACATTATGACCAAATCACCCAGAATGCGTCCAAACTCTTAAGCAGGGTTGAGCCAGGATACTGCTTGAATGAGTAACCACAGGCAGGTATTGTAGTCTGCTGTGGGGCTAGGTTGTTACGAGAGGGCAGTGCAGCATAATCCATTGTTGTATTGTCCTGTGTTCCAAAGTGTTTGTGAACGCTGCCAACTTCTGCCAACCTACACTGACCAAAGAAGTATGGTCAAATAACCTACATGATCCGTATGGCATGGGGGGGCCCATATCCAGCAATGGATTGACAAACAACCATATATCTTGCTTTAAAGCTTTCGTGCCTGCAGGAATTCATATTCTTTCGGTCTTTCAGTAAAGTCACGTAGATAGAACAATAAAATTATAAAAATGAAAATAGAGTGAATAAAAAAATCATAAAAAAACAACACGACGTTTCGATCGCAACACAAGTAATCATCATCAGGAGAAAAAAGAGGGGAAAGCTGCTGAGCAGGCTGTTTTTAAAGGTTTGAAATGGATGTAGCCAAAGGGTCATAAACTAAGTGGACGGGGCTAGTGATGTTAAAGTGAGAGAGATTAGCATGTAAATGTAAACGGCGGCTGTGTTAGTGTGAACCTTACTCTTTGGTTCTATTCGAATATAACTGATAACATTGGAAGGTAGGATGGAAACATCACAGCCAGTAATGACAAACTGGTTAATAACGTCCTTCCAATGATTGCTCAGTTTGTAACCATCTTCTCGGTTGAAATTGTGTCTGTGTTTAAATATCTGAATGGCTTCATGAACGAATCTTTGTTGATAGCCAGTAGGTTTGCAGAGTACCTTCGTCTTGGAGAAATAAATTTCGTGTGAGCCCACCGCATTAAAACAATGATCAGCCACGGCTGAGGTATTGGTCCTATCGTGTTTCAGATCTGCCTGATGTTCACGAACACGGTCCGAGACATGTAGCTTAGTTTCCCCAATGTAACTACTGCCGCAGACGCAGCTTAGTTTGTAGACGCCGGGGTATTGCATGTCAGGGATCACATCCTTCACAGATGGGATCAGATCACGAATTTTACGTACTGTGTTAAATCGAACCTGGATCTTGTGTTTGCTCATGATTTTGGAAATATTTTTGGTGACCCCTGCTATGTAGGTGATGGTTTTGAATGGGTCCTCAGATGGTTCTCTCTCAACGTTTGGGGTGACAGCTTTACGGATTGTGCAGTCTGAATATGCGTTCATCTTGAGGGCTTGGTGTACGTGTTCCAGTTCACTGTCGAGGTGGTGATGGTCGGAAATACAACGAGCTCTATGGTGTAGAGTTTTAATGAGGGAATTCTTCTGGGATGGATGGTGGTGGGAGTCAGGTTTTAGGTAGGCATCCGTATGGGTGGCTTTCCTGTAGACAGAGTGTCCCATTGAGCCATCTGGTCTCTTTTCAATTAAAACATCCAAGAATGGTAACTTGCCATCCTTTTCCACTGCTATGGTGAATTTGATGGCTGGGTGTATGGAAATGATGTGGTTGAGGAATTGGTTCAGAGCTGGTAGGCCATGTGGCCAGATGACGAACGTGTCATCTACGTATCTCTTCCACATGGACGGACGTAGAGTGGATGCGTGGATGGCATCTGTCTCAAAATTTTCCATGAAAACATTGGCTACAACTGGAGATAAGGGAGAACCCATTGGGGTACCTTCAACTTGTTTGTAGAATGTTCCATTCCAGGTGAAGTAAATGTTGGTGAGGCAGTGTCTAACAAGGTCCTTGTTGGACCAAATCTTCAATGATTGCAATGGTGTCAGGCACAGGAACTTTGGTAAACAAAGATACTACATAGAAACTAACGAGCAAATCACCTGGAGATAATGAGATGTCCTTAAGAATATAACCATATATGTACATGCACAATAACATGATTTGGATAGCTAAATTAAAACAGTTTGATGGAAATAAAATCCATGTCTAAGAATAATAATTTAAACAGGACTTGAATTAGAAGGGTGTGGTAGCATAGAGTGATTCTTTGGGCATGAAGTGCTTTGAGGCCCGTGTGTAAACAATACATAACATACATTAACGGTGACATTGAAAGCTATCAGGTTAGTGTGGGAAGGCTGTGATCGCAACACACTCGTCTCACCCGTCGCTTCTGGGCCTTGCTCACACGCAGCTGCGTCTCCGTCGTCCCTGCATTTTCTGCAACCGAGGTCAGTTCCACACTGGCCAGTGCATCCAACACGCTCCCCACCTGCTCCACACGCAGCACAGTCACAAGATCAGGAGCGGTAGGAATGCTGATTTGTTTCAGCCTGGGCATGGAGGCAAGGTAAGAGAACGAGGAGCCCTAAATGGGGAAACGCGTGCAGTGCACACCTGTAAATCAATGTGTGGGTTTTGCAGGTGTGCTGCATAGTTCTCCGATGTGTTTTCGGGGGGTTTGTACCGTGTGCTTTTACAACACGATTATTTGACATTTCGCTCCACGTGCTGGGTCGTTTCTTTCACTTCCTACAGAAACTGCCGGCATAGTGGAGCAAAAACATTGCGCCACCGTGACTGCCCAGTAGACAATAGTGGTACTGTCACAGCTGCACTATTGGCCACGGTTAATTACCGTGGCTGCTTGGCTCTCGCTGTGCTCCCCAGCGAGCGCGAGTCTCTCGCGTTCGTGGCGTGCCTCCAGCTCGGCCTCCGTCTGTGCGACCTCATCCGCAAGCTGCTTGCGTCTTTTCTTGTCGTTCTTCGGTACCGCATTCTTCATTGCCTGGACACGTCCTGTGGAAAAACAAATTACTCGAGAGCCAGGAACGGTGCAACCAGATTTCCCCGAGCAATATATAACATACTGTTCTCACATTTCCCCTTTCCTGTAACCACATCACCCAGGATGCACTCATCATATACTGGAAACTGCTATATAGCATCCGATGACACCTGTTTTATACATTATGATCACTCATTCACCTCCGCTAACAGTTGGCTACGTACGGTGCGAAAGAAGTTCAACATATATTCAAGCACTATTGAGGCTCAACCCTGCGTAGTGATCAAGATCTGATAGGCTTGGGCACATTCCAGGCGATACTCCAGCAAAAATCCTCACCTGCATCCTTCAAAGTATCTCCAGTGCAAATGATCTGAGATTGGTTTTAATACTGTTTCGTAATAGTCAATGGTTCAATTGGTACAGGGGTCAGGTCAAAGTGTCTCTCAGCTCGTCTCTGTTTATGGCCCTCAGCCAATGATATGACCGTAATTCCACATTCTTATGGATGGTGGCAGTCTCTCCATATGAGAACTCCTGTGTTCCCACAAAGCAGAACGGTACTTATTTTAGCGACCCCGGAGAGATGATGAGATGAGCGGACGGCTCTGCTCCAGCGCCTGTAAAGGGACGTTAACTAGGGGAGTGTAAGCTTGGAATTTGAGCACAAATGTGTAAACAACGAAATAAAAATGTTCTTTGGTTCTTTCGGTAAAGTCACGTAGAATGAGAATAAAATAATAAATTGATAAAATAAAATAACACAATAATAATAATTGTATTTTATCAATTTATTTTATTCTCATTCTACGTGACTTTACCGAAAGAACCAAAGAAGATGAATCATTGCAGTCACGAAAGCTTTAAATCGAGAAATAATAATGCTCAAAAAAAATGAAGTCATATATAACGTAAGTGATGTGCGGCTAAAATGTAGTTACACATACTGTATGTATTAAATACCTATAGCAAATAAATGACTCGTGTTGCCGCAGCCACGTAAATTAAAATCTTTTCGTCAATCCACTGCTAGAGGAGAGCCTCCCCATGCGTGTTTCATCATAGTGCGTGTTTCATCATAGTACGTGTCGATATAGGAGGAACTTAGACGTGGGAGTATAGCAAGTACCGTATAATAATAATGATGAGACCGGTTGTTCAGGGGGACGTTTCCCCTAATTCCCCACGAAAATTGGTGCACAACAACGGGACACGTCACTTCGCCTGTTGTCATTCTACGCCGACACCGCGTCCCATACATTCACCACGTGCACCCTCATACCTTCACTTGCCAGTGCGCATTCACGACGCATTCACTGTAAGCGTCAAAGCCGTGCCGTGCTTGACAACGGCGGACGTGTTTAAAGGCTCTACTCCTACACGGAGTAACAACTCCGTTAAGGTGACTGCACATTTACTTGGCGAAGACCTCCGCGGTCCCGCTCGAAGCCTTCAACGAGCACCCCCCCGCCGCGCCTCCGCCGGGCTTCATTGAGCCTCGCGGGCACGACGAGCCAGGCAAGGCGCGAGGCTCGCGTAGAGGCCTAGCGGGAAAGCGCGGACGAAAGATGCAGCGCCACTTGACGCACGCAGCGCGACGTCGTGGTGGTGGCTCGTTACCCTGCAGCTCTTTCTTCTCCCGCTTGTGCCTCTGCGAGAGCTCCTCCTCGGCGGGGCGGAGGCGCCCGCTGCCAGCGGCGTGCCGCTCCATCGTGGGCCTAGCGAGCCAGGCGGCGTGGTGGTGGTGGTGGCGGCGCGGGGCTCGTCCACGGCCCCTGGGCTGCACGGCCTTTGGCGCCTCACCGTGGGCAGGGAGAGAGAGAGCCCCGCTGCTATTAACTAAGATTATGATTTTGTTGTTATTTCGATTTAAAGCTTTCGTGACTGCAAGGATTCATCTTCTTTGGTTCTTTCGGTAAAGTCACGTAGAATGAGAATAAAATAATAAAATAAAATTCTCACGACGTTTCGGCCACAACACAAAAGATGGCAAGCTACCCTTTTTGGATGTCTTAATTAAAAGGAGACCTGATGGTTCAATGAGCCACTCTGTCTACAGGAAAGCTACCCATACAGATGCTTACTTGAAACCGGATTCCCACCACCATCCATCCCAGAAGAATTATCTCATCAAGACTCTATACCATAGAGCCCAATGCATTTCCGACCAGGAACACATAGCCAGTGAACTCAAGCACGTACACCAAGCTCTTAAGGCTAATGGTTACTCCAACTACACAATCCGCAAAGCCATCACTCCAGTCATGAAGAAGGATCCTCTTGAGGAGCCACTCAAAACCATCACCTTGCCCTACATTTCAGGGGTTACTAAAAAGATCTCCAAAATCCTGAACAAACACAAGATCCAGGTCCGATTCAACACAGTACATAAAATCCGTGATCTGGTTCCATCTGTAAAAGATGCTGTTCCAGACATACAGTACCCAGGCGTTTACAAACTAAAGTGCCTCTGTGGTAGCAACTACATTGGGGAAACCAAACGACATATCTCGGACCGCATCCGCAAACATAAAGCAGACTTGAAACACGGCAGGACGAACTCTTCTGCCGTGGCAGATCACTGTTATAATTCAGTGGGCTCACATGACATTGACTTCTCCAAGACGGAGGTTCTTTGCAAGCCAACCGGCTACCATGAGAGATTCGTTCATGAAGCCATCCACATATACAGACAGAGACAATTTCAACCGAGAGGATGGATTCTGGCTTAGTAACCATTGGAAAGATGTTTTAAACCATTTCGGTTCTTAATTAATTGTATTTGGCGGTGACCGTCAGACCGCAGCTCTTTCGCTGGCATTGTGACTGTTTCTCCCTCCTCCCTTCCGAGTATGGATTGACCCGTCCGCCTCAATGTCGCTGTCCTTGGTGCTGGTTGTTGAGGAGATGGAAAAACCGACATTTTTTCTCTCCTTGGTGCTCTTCTCTCCCTCACACCAACGCTAATCCCCCAGTTACATGCTAATTTATATGTAAACTCCCCTCCCCCCTCCTCCAGTCCCAGCTCGTTCGCTCTCCGTAATGCTAATCTCCCAGTTAATGCTCCTTTGTCAAGGCTCTCTGTTCCTCCCACACAGCTTAAAAGACGCTATCAAGCTTGACAGGGTTCACTCAAGCGCTGTCTTCTGGACAGTCGTGTTTCTTCACCTGAGGACGGCTACTTGTGTTATGGCCGAAACGTCGTGAGAATTTTATTGTTTTATTTTATTATTTTATTCTCATTCTACGTGACTTTACCGAAAGAACCAAAGAATATGATTTTGTTATCCCTTTCACCAGGTAAAGGCCCCACTGAGCTATATTATTACCGGAGTTCGTTTGCAGAAGCGACCGGGCTATCACGAATGTTGATCATACTTCGACACAGTGGATTGTCAAGGTGGGAAATGTATCGCGGCCAAATACTCTGAACGCGTTGATGTTGATTCTTAATGGGGAGGGGAAACCGGAGCAAAATCCACACGACCACGGAGAAAGAGACACGCAGACGTCTGGGTTGGGATCGACCCCACGACCTCCTGTATATCAGGCCAGGGAGTTAACATCTCGACACCGCCGTGCAGAGGTTCAATGCACTCCACAAGTTTCTATACTCTACAGCATTTTAATGCACTATACACTTGGTTTACATCAGAATGTACTTGACTACACGATATTGGCTTGTACAGTACGAATGCACTGCACTATGTATGTTGAACTTCTTTCGCACCGTACGTAGCCAACCGTGCTAATTGGCTTGTATTAGAGTGAACTACACTACACTGACTTGTATTATAGTGAACTACACCACACTGGCTTGTATTAGAGTGAACTGCACTGCACTAGCTTGTATTAGAGTGAACTACACTACACTAGCTTGTATTATATTGCACTACACTACACTGGCTTGTATTAGAGTGAGCTACACTACACTGACTTGTATTAGTGAACTACGCCACACTGGCTTGTATTAGAGTGAACTACACTGCACTGGCTTGTATTAGAGTGAACTACACTGCACTGGCTTGTATTAGAGTGAACTACACTGCACTGGCTTGTATTAGAGTGAACTACACTACACTAGCTTGGATTAGAGTGAACTACACTACACTGGCTTGTATTAGAGTGAACTACACTGCACTGGCTTGTATTAGAGTGAACTACACTACACTAGCTTGTATTAGAGTGAACTACACTGCACTGGCTTGTATTAGAGTGAACTACACTGCACTGGCTTGTATTAGAGTGAACTACACTGCACTGGCTTGTATTAGAGTGAACTACACTACACTAGCTTGTATTAGAGTGAACTACACTGCACTGGCTTGTATTAGAGTGAACTACACTATACTGGCTTGTATTAGAGTGAACTACACTACACTGGCTTGTATTAGTGTGAACTACACTGCACTGGCTTGTATTAGAGTGAACTACACTGCACTGGCTTGTATTAGAGTGAACTACACTATACTGGCTTGTATTAGAGTGAACTACACTACACTGGCTTGTATTAGTGTGAACTACACTGGCTTGTATTAGAGTGAACTACACTGCACTGGCTTGTATTAGAGTGAACTACACTACACTGGCTTGTATTAGAGTGAACTACACTACACTGGCTTGTATTAGAGTGAACTACACTGGCTTGTATTAGAGTGAACTACACTACACTGGCTTGTATTAGAGTGAACTACACTGGCTTGTATTAGAGTGAACTATACTACACTGGCTTGTATTAGAGTGAACTACACTACACTGGCTTGTATTAGAGTGAACTACACTACACTGGCTTGTATTAGTGAACTACACTGCACTGGCTTGTATTAGAGTGAACTACACTGGCTTGTATTAGAGTGAACTACACTACACTGACTTGTATTAGAGTGAACTACACTACACTGGCTTGTATTAGAGTGAACTACACTACGCTGGTTTGTATTAGAGTGAACTACACTGGCTTGTATTAGAGTGAACTACACTATACTGGCTTGTATTAGAGTGAACTACACTACACTGGCTTGTATTAGTGTGAACTACACTGCACTGGCTTGTATTAGAGTGAACTACACTGCACTGGCTTGTATTAGAGTGAACTACACTGCACTGGCTTGTATTAGAGTGAACTACACTGCACTGGCTTGTATTAGAGTGAACTACACTGCACTGGCTTGTATTAGAGTGAACTACACTACACTGGCTTGTATTAGAGTGAACTACACTACACTGGCTTGTATTAGAGTGAACTACACCACTGGCTTGTATTAGAGTGAACTACACTGGCTTGTATTAGAGTGAACTACACTGGCTTGTATTAGAGTGAACTACACTACACTGGCTTGTATTAGAGTGAACTACACTGGCTTGTATTAGAGTGAACTACACTATACTGGCTTGTATTAGAGTGAACTACACTACACTGGCTTGTATTAGAGTGAACTACACTACACTGGCTTGTATTAGAGTGAACTACACTGGCTTGTATTAGAGTGAACTACACTACACTGGCTTGTATTAGAGTGAACTACACTGGCTTGTATTAGTGAACTACACTGCACTGGCTTGTATTAGAGTGAACTACACTACACTGGCTTGTATTAGAGTGAACTACACTACACTGGCTTGTATTAGAGTGAACTACACTACACTGGCGTGTATTAGAGTGAACTACACTATACTGGCTTGTATTAGAGTGAACTACACTGGCTTGTATTAGAGTGAACTACACTACACTGTCTTGTATTAGAGTGAACTACACCACACTGGTTTGTATTAGAGTGAACTACACTGGCTTGTATTAGAGTGAACTACACTGGCTTGTATTAGAGTGAACTACACTGCACTGACTTGTATTAGAGTGAACTACACTACACTGGCTTGTATTAGAGTGAACTACACTACACTGGTTTGTATTAGAGTGAACTACACTGGCTTGTATTAGAGTGAACTACACTATACTGGCTTGTATTAGAGTGAACTACACTACACTGGCTTGTATTAGAGTGAACTACACTACACTGGTTTGTATTAGAGTGAACTACACTGGCTTGTATTAGAGTGAACTACACTATACTGGCTTGTATTAGAGTGAACTACACTACACTGGCTTGTATTAGTGTGAACTACACTGCACTGGCTTGTATTAGAGTGAACTACACTGCACTGGCTTGTATTAGAGTGAACTACACTGCACTGGCTTGTATTAGAGTGAACTACACTGCACTGGCTTGTATTAGAGTGAACTACACTGCACTGGCTTGTATTAGAGTGAACTACACTGCACTGGCTTGTATTAGAGTGAACTACACTACACTGGCTTGTATTAGAGTGAACTACACTACACTGGCTTGTATTAGAGTGAACTACACTGGCTTGTATTAGAGTGAACTACACTACACTGGCTTGTATTAGAGTGAACTACACTACACTGGCTTGTATTAGAGTGAACTACACTGGCTTGTATTAGAGTGAACTACACTACACTGGCTTGTATTAGAGTGAACTACACTACGCTGGTTTGTATTAGAGTGAACTACACTACACTGGCTTGTATTAGAGTGAACTACACTGGCTTGTATTAGAGTGAACTACACTACACTGGCTTGTATTAGAGTGAACTACACTGGCTTGTATTAGTGAACTACACTGCACTGGCTTGTATTAGCGTGAACTACACTACACTGGCTTGTATTAGAGTGAACTACACTACACTGGCTTGTATTAGAGTGAACTACACTACACTGGCTTGTATTAGAGTGAACTACACTACACTGGCTTGTATTAGAGTGAACTACACTACACTGGCTTGTATTAGAGTGAACTACACTACACTGGCTTGTATTAGAGTGAACTACACTACACTGGCTTGTATTAGAGTGAACTACACTACACTGGCGTGTATTAGAGTGAACTACACTATACTGGCTTGTATTAGAGTGAACTACACTGTCTTGTATTAGAGTGAACTACACCACACTGGTTTGTATTAGAGTGAACTACACTGCACTGGATCTAACTGTACGCGCCTCTTCCGGTGCAGGGGCGTCTCTTTTATGAGCCCCGCCCACTCGCGTGACGTCACCTCCCGTGACGCGCATCTCGCCGATGGTGGCGGAGCGAGGCGACATCACGGATTCGTCGGCGCCGGTGAACGCCATGGCCGAGCAGGACGTGAGCGTGGCGCTGGAGAACCTCAAGCACAGCGTCACCCTCGTGCTGGAGCAGCTGAAAGGTTGAGGCGCCCACATCCCGCCCCCCTACACCCCACTCCGACTCCTGTTCGCAACGGGCCATCGTCGGAGGCCTGCTCTGTCAACACGGATCGATTCCTTTGTAACAACATTGCGGATCGATTCGTTACGGTGAATGCGTGGATCGATTTCTGATGAGGTGTATGCGGATCGATTTCTCGCGCAAGTTGTCACGGTAAATAGACATTCTCTCTCTCGTGTCCAAAGAGGAGCTTGGCAAATGGACGTGGGCAAGCTGTGTCGGTGAATTTCGGAGCGTTGCCTTGATTCTGGCGAGATGTTAACTCCCTCGCCTGGCATGCAGGGCACGGGGGGGTGGTTCGATCCCAAGCCCTGTTGTATATTTGGATTAGATCACGTAAATGTGTCGTTAAACCGGCCACCACCCGATACAACAAATTAGTAAGGTTTGTCACATGGACAAAAAATGCCAGCTCGTTGCTAGTTCAGCACGCCGGTGTGTTGGAGAGTAAACCAAAACATTCGCAATGAGAGTACAGTCGGCTATATCAGGCGACAGCCAGATTATATTTACGCAACCGAATCCATAAAAGATCTATGGATAATATTGGTTGCGAAAGCCCACATGTTAAAGATTCTATTTGGAATGCACACTTTTTTTCTCCTGGTCTTCCTTTTTCCCCACATTTTGAATCAACACCACGCGTTTAAGAGTATTTTTGGCTGCTATACATTTACACGTGACAATGATGAGCCACTTCGTTATTATTGGTGGCCTGGTCGCTTCTGAAAATGCGCTATGTAGCTGAGTGGGTCTTACTTGGTAAAGTAAAAATACAGTAGTTTAGTGTCTAGCCAAATGCGCCTCAGTGCTCAATAAATTAAATACGGTGAGCAGCGTTTGCAGTACTCACCTCGTTACATTGATGCCTTATTACCTTTTCCAGTGCTTGATTGTGATGCTATTCTTTGTGTTCCGCTTATGCAGATGGAGAGTCTTCTGTCGCGCCTCGTGAAGACTTTAACATGCCAGAGTTCTGGGAAAAGTTAGGTGCGTCATTTTGTGGAGTGGTAATGGCTTAAACGGTATACGACAATGCAAGCCAGATTGTCCCCTTGCTCAACATCGAAGGGTGACGTACGGTCATTGACAGTCCCGAACCACTAGTGTTAATTACGCATACCCATGACGGGGATAACCACTGTTGATTTCCCACAAAGCGTTTCTCAATTTATTGACCCCCAAGGCATTATTGGTTGAGTTAATGTGCAACTGTTATTTTAACTCTTTATGGGGTTACCCAGTTGCGTTGTTTTGTTTAACAGACCACATCTGCTGAAGAAACTCCGTAAAGTTAAACTAGTCCAGAGTTTTCTCAGGATTTAACACTTGCTACTGGGATACATTGGTTGGCCCACTGTCTTATGAGGTTACGTGTGTCCACACAGAGCACTGCTACAAGGCAGTTTCTCAAGAGTCCACCAAGCTCAGCCTGGCCTTCTCCAGACCTCCCTTGCCTTCAGCACAGGTGAGGCACTGGGCAATATTCAACAACTTTCCACTGGCACACCCGAGCCGCACCAGCACAGGGCCTTCATAGCACAGGTGGTTTTCCACTGGCTATTTGCCGAGCCAAGCCAAAACTTAAACTGTTAATCTCTCGCCCCGAGACATCTCAATCTGGCTTGGCACCAGCAAGACCAAGGGCAGGCCTCATTATTGTTGTTAGACATTGCGTAATTTTTTTACATCGGCCGGTACATCAGCGCCACACTTTCATTCTGTGTGACGTTAGTGGCGCGGCTCGGATCTGCGGTGGAAAAACATCCTGGTGCCTCCTGAGCTGTACCAGGCTGGCTCGGTAGTCCTGGCGTGGCTTGGTTGTAAATTGGGAAAAATGTATAAAGGTCACTTTGAAGCAGCATTTATTCACCTGAATTGTTCAAGAGGTTTATTATTTCCTTTCTAATGGAAATGATTTGCCGATAGGGATGCAAAGACTGTTTATCTTATTCCATGACCATGGAGTCAAAAGAACGGCCTTCTCGAGTAATGAATGCCAAAAGGGTCTTTTTACACATGCTCTATAAAATTATTCCAACCTATCAATAATATTTGGTCATTGTCTGTGGTACCAGTCTGCCTTTGTATGTATGTTGAACTTCTTTCACACCGTACATAGCCAACCGTGCTAATCGGAGGTCCTTTCTGTCTGCCCACCAATAATGGCTACTTACCGACTAATTTATCTACCAGTTAATCTCCACATATTTGGCTACTTATATACATCTTCAAAGGGTAATAAAGAAGGCTAATGGTATCGGATTGAAGCCATAAAATGGTGCTCCATCTCTTGCAAGATGCTAGCCCAAGTGGCAAAGAAGATCCTGAGTGAGCGCATGTCTGGCCAGGATTGCAGGAAGTTGGCTGAGGGGATGGAGAACGCGGTGCTGGCCACTGTGACGGTCTTCTACACGCTGCCCAAGACTTACGGTGTGACTGCTGAGTGTGTCTAACTACACTCACCCACATGGCATCACAATACAGAGCCTAGTAAGGCTGTTTGCCATGTTTCCACAACCACTGGGAAGGGTGCTGGCTCTGTTTAGGAATTCAGTGAAGTGGTGGCGCAATTTTTTGGCCAACCTAACACAATTTTATCTGGACTATTCTCTAACAAAATCGTGGCATTTCGGGGTCAAAAAAAGTGAGATGCCCAGTCTGTAACATTTCACTGGTTCAAATTCCCAGTCTGTAAAGACACTCCTCGATGAAGTCCTCGATATGTCGTCTTGGTCGTGGGAGTTGTTAGACTTTATGCCACCACGCTACTCAGTGCAGGTTGGTGCTGTAGGGTCCCATGACCATTTCAGATATCACTTTTTGGTGATCGCCATGGCCAAGAGTAAAATTAAGATCACCGGCTTCAGGGTGCAATGCGATAATCACTGTACCACCACTAAACCTCTATCTAAAGGCACTTGATTTAATATCTGGTAGATCCCAGCATTCAATGATAGGAACTCAGCAGCACCCGTTATTTCCCCACGCAGGGCTGGTGCTGAGGAAAAGCACAAAGGAGGCAACTATGACAGTCCTGGGCGGAGTCCTGCATCTGGTAGAATCCATAAAGCGCTCGCCGGTCCAGAGGTAGGTCACCGTGCTCCTATAAGGCCACTGTGTGGGCACCACACCCCTTTATACAATTTTTGGCAATTATCATTCCCCCTTTCCTGTTTTGATGACGTACGTGTACGTCATAAGTTTTTCTCCCCATTCCATTCTGATGACATACATGTGTAGTGGTGTTATTTCACACGGACAACTTATTTTTCTCCTGTGTCACTTTATTCGTACAGAACTCCTCGCGTTCTACACCACGCATCTCTGTCACAACTCCTCCTCTTGTACTGCTCGTCCGCCACGCTCCGCTCGCTCTCTCTCACTCCGCTCGCCTGCTATGTTGCACTCAGCTCCTCTACTGCTAGCCTCTTACTATACACTCCGCTAGCTTCTCTACTGCTAGCCTCTTACTATGCACTCTGCTAGCTTCTCTACTGATAGCCTTCTCACACTTAGGATTCCGCTAGCCTCTCTACTGCTAGCCTGTCTACCCTCACTCCTCCAACCTCGCCCGTGCCTCCAGCTGGGGATCAGCCAACACAGCTGGAGAGGATGAGGTGTGGAGAGCGGGGTCCCGGACTGCTCTTGACTTCTCCCTTGTCTTCACTCCTCCCTTGTCTTCACTCGAACCAACTCAGCTCCCGTTTCCCCGCACATCTGCTTCAGCGTTCTCCCCCCTTATCGCCACTATCACTCGCCTCCGTGGCGCCTACTCCGCGTCTACATTTGCAGCCAGCCAATCACCGCTATGCATCCTAATTGGTCGCCCCTTTCTGGTTGCTCTCCTCTCTGCACCTGTTTGCCCTGGCGTGACCTCACCGTCCGCAGCTCACACATGCGTGCACACTGTTTGCAAACCCCCACGCGCGTTACTCCACTACACATGTACATCATCAAAACGAAGCCAGAAGAAAAACTAAAATTAAATGACTTTATCGGTACCGAGGCTTACACAAGGCCATGCGGGGGGAGGGCTGTGGCACAGTTTGGCACCAGCTATTACAGAGTGCGGTCGTGTCACTACAGCTCTCTGCAGTGAGTACAATGTCTTTAAAAACAATGGCGCTATGCATCTAGTAACTGGTGCTATATTAACCCTTGGGAAAGGGTTAATATAGCACCAGTTACTTTCCAGTAAGGCTACTTTAGTCAATGGTCCAGGTAAAAAAAAAGTCCTTTCCAGTCGCCTAATAACTTTAGACAGCACTAGAAATTATTATTGCGAGGCACTGCCACAAACATCACAATGTTTAACTGCAGAGTGGGCATTAAATACCATGACATCACAATCCAAACAGTATGCAAATGTGCTGATATCATAGCTCATGTGCATTATGTTTAATGCATTTTAAGTACATTGCAAAAACATACCTATGTAAATATCCATATTCAGTGATATTTCTTGAACATTTAATAGGATTTGAACCGATTTTACTCAGTGAATGACGGAAATATTTATATTGGTAGACTATATTTATAACATGGTAATCAATGGTGTCATTAATGGCATGTATAATGCTATTTAATGTGTTTTCATAGGGTTTGTAGAGTTATTATGCAGTGGAACTGACACATTTTTATAACAAACCTGGTAATCTGGTTATGTAAATTCAAGTGGATTTTTAGTTCCAACTCCGTGACCTTGGTGAGTGTAACAAGAGGAAATGTTTTGTTGTTTTGTGTTCCTATAGTTTATCCCAGGGCCAGCTCACAAGCACAGCGGGCGTCTGGGAGGCTTGCGACCACATCTCTCGTCTACCAAGGGGTACGGGGCTTGTGGCATGGACAGTGATCCACTGTTTTATTCTATAATACCGATGACTTTAAATGCAATATAAATAACATTTAAATACACTGCCCATGGCATGAAAACATCTGCATCTGAATTGTATAAGATGTAAACATTTCATTTGTTTCACATTTGGAAAAAGCTCAAGTGACCTGACTTGATATTCGCTGTTGACAGATAATGTGGTGGCAGTGCTGGCTGTGATGCAGGCAGCTTTGGGGATTGTGCGCGATGCTCTGGAGGAGATTGAGCAGGTAGGGTCCCACTTGGGCCAAGGCGGTCCCAGTCACTTCCATTGTTGCTTGTCTTCAGGTCAACATGAAGAGGCTACCACATGCGTATGATGCCATTACACACTCCATTGCTGCCTTCCCCCAAATACAGTAGTCTCTCAGTGAACGTTTTTAATCTATACCACGAAAACTAGTGTTCACTGAAATAACTGTTTTTCGAATTCACTTACGTTTACATGCTCAGCCCACTTATGAGCACTTGGATTGGTCTAAATTGGCGCCCGCGTGCATAACATAAACATACCGCTAATCTAAATGTTAACAGTTGAAACCATGAGGTCCTATGGGAGGCGAAACGTTAACCGAGAAACCATTAACCGATGTCACTTAACGGAGGGACTACTGTATCACAACTGTTGTTCCCTTCTTATAATCTGAACCAACCACATACCTGGTTTTAAGTCCCCCCCCCCCACCTGGTTACCACTCCACAGCTTGTTAAAGGAGACTTAATTTTTCATCTTCTGTTTTTCTTTACCCATGTATTGTGCATCCTATGTTACCAGTGTGTACACACAAGGAGAAGAGTATGGAAAAAAATGCCTTTTGTCAACAAAAACATTCGAGTGATTTTCAGCTGCAAGGACAGCTGAGTCTTCTAATTATGATAATGCCCTTTAGGAAAGCCTTATTGAGACTGGAGGCACTTTTTGGGACAGTTATACGTTGTGCTGTTTGTACTAACGTTGTTTAATGAGTGTGGAAGGGACCCAGAGTATCTGAAGAATAACGAGCATTTTGTAATCATACTCAAAACACGGTCCATTTCATAGCCCCCTTCACAACCCAGTGGACTAGTATCTGCCTATGATTGCATTTTTGTGATCCACCGGCCGGGCTTCCAAAGCAGTGGTTTAGAGGTGGGCCACCATCACTGTGACCGATGGATGTGAGCAGGCTTTGGTGTTTTTCAGGCTCAAGACGCAGGCAACAGTGACCCTTTTGGGGACGTGCTCGCAGATGACATCGTGGGTTTCCGGGAGAACCAGGACACCTATTGGTCCGAGCGCGACCGCCAGGTATTTTGGGCCATATTCTGGGGACAGGGGTCAGAGGGAATATTGTCAACAACAGTTTGGTTATGCATGACCCATTACTGTGCTGGTGGTGAACCTTTAAAGCCTGTACTGCTGAGATCCTGGGTTTAAATTCCAGGAAGCTACTTGAGCTTAACAGAGTTTTTCAAGTGTAACATGTTTGGTGATCTCGGCCCGTGATTATGGAAGGTACACATAAAGAGTAAAAACTAAATTTGTGGGTCTTTTGGTTAAGTTGCATTTACTGCTAATTTGCATTCCGAGTGTCCAACAAGTAGACACATTTGCCCCAAATGTTTTCAGTCAGTCCCCCCACTAAAATGAGTGGTGGATTATTGTTAAACTCCACTGTTGGCCAAGTCAATGTTGTAAATTCATTATTCCCGTGGCAGTTACTCATTGTCTTATCTCTCACATGCTTACGATGAGTTCTGACTGATGGGTGTCCTGAGGATCTCACAGCAGCACCTCTGTGTGCTCCATGACGACGCTGGGGCACTGTTTGCTTTGCGCTGCCATTTGTGGTGGACAGCTGCTGGCCCCCTGCCTGGGCCTCATGAAGGCGTCCAAAGCGTGCCTGCAGAAAGTTGCGCGAACGGTAAAGACCCACGGCTCGGCGGGGGCTGCGGCTCGGCAGGAGGAGCGAGCGTCACAGCTGGACGACCTGGCGGACCTCGCCCGCCTCATCTCGCCCAGGTGCGCTCCGGATTCCTTCTGCCGTGCTTCAAATCTGATTTGACGAATTTGTCGGCCGTAGCTGATCATTGTCTCAACACAGCGGGTTCTCGTGAGATTGTTTTCTCCGATACCAAAGTACTATGCAGACCTCCCGGTTATTACCAAAGCTTTGTCCTCGAAGCCATCCAGATATACAAACATAGACACTACTTCAACGGAGAGGATGGTTTTAAATTAAGCAACCACTGGAAAGATGTCATAAACCAAGTCAAAACTTTAGCTACCTTATAAGCACGCAGCGTATTCTTTCCGAACTTTTCCATTTTGTGTTTCCATTTTTCCATTGCCCCCGTGCAGTGACCCACCGCATCCCCCGCACCCTCAACATAACAAAAGACTGATTAACTTAGCCCCGCACAACATCAATGTGCCCTACTTGGCTCCTCCCCCCCTCCCCCCTTAACCTGTATTTAAGCTCGAGGCTCTCAGAGCCCCTCCCCACTTGATGCAGCGATCTTGCTGTAACTGTTCCACCTGAAGACGGAAGCTTGTGTTGCCTCCGAAACGTCGTTATTTAATTGTTTAATTTTAATTTATTTTATTTTACCTACGTGACTTTACCGAAAAAAAAACTAAGAGTATGAATCCTTGCAGTCACGAAAGCTTCAAATCTAGAAAAGTCCGGCACTGCATACGAGAGGGGTGGGTGGCCAGCACCAAGCCCCGCCGCCACCATACATAGCAAACACGTATAGAAACATTTTAAATCTATAGCTTATACTGTACTGTGTGCATTCATATAGTCAATATCACACTCAATCAAACATAAATACACGTAAATATACGAATGGTGAACACCGCTGGTTCATTCACATGGAATGTAGTCTCGATGTTACTTGCAAATGTGCAAGATGGAAATCACACGGTGTATCATTGAGGCAATTTTTTTTTAATAATGGTGAATGGGCAACTTGGGAGTTTGTGTAATGTCCTTGTCAGAGCAATGAGCCATCACTGCTGCAGTCCTTTATGCGAGTCCTAAGCTACGTGTCATTCAACCATGTTCTCAAGTGCGTGAGTATTATAGTATGAGAAGTATCCTAAATAGCTGCACAAATATATAATTGTAAACAAAATGTATTGGATTGAATCTTTTCAAGCAAGCATAGGGAACACTATGCAGCAGTGAATGCACACAGAGACATAATTATTTGCCTGAGTGTTGCTTATGATTTGTCTTTGCAGTGTTGATGATTTAGCAATGGCTGTCTACCCTCCCATGAATTATGCTGCAATTAGACTCAATGTACGTATATCTATGTTGGTATATATGCACACCTTTCTCTACAATACCATTGCAGGATATGGATCCTGGTTGTTATACAGTTCATGTGTAAACGGCGTGAATCAATTAGTCCTCATCATGCCAGCTCCCTTGCCTCCTGTGAGCGTTTTTCATATCATGCAGCCGCAATCTAAGCCATGAACAACATGTGGTGTTGCACTGGGCACACACTAGTAGGCTTCAACAGTGATATGAAGTTCAAGTTCTAATATTAATGTGTAATGTGTGCCTTCAACTGTGGTATAAGTTCCACTATTAATGTGTAATATGTGCCTTCAACAGTGGTATAAGTTCCACTATTAATGTGTAATGTGTGCCTTCAACAGTGGTATAAGTTCCACTATTAATGTGTAATGTGTGCCTTCAACTGTGGTATAAGTTCCACTATTAATGTGTAATGTGTGCCTTCAACTGTGGTATAAGTTCTACTATTAATGTGTAATGTGTGCCTTCAACAGTGGTATAAGTTCTACTATTAATGTGTAATGTGTGCCTTCAACAGTGGTATAAGTTCTACTATTAATGTGTAATGTGTGCCTTCAACAGTGGTATAAGTTCCACTATTAATGTGTAATGTGTGCCTTCGACAGTGGTATAAGTTCCACTATTAATGTGTAATGTGTGCCTTCAACAGTGGTATAAGTTATACTATTAATGTGTAATATGTGCCTTCAACTGTGGTATAAGTTCTACTATTAATGTGTAATATGTGCCTTAAACTGTGGTATAAGTTATACTATTAATGTGTAATATGTGCCTTCCTCTGCAGGCCATCAAACTTGCATCTGTGCTCAAGAATTATCTGGAGGTAACCAGGTAAGTACTTGCACAAGAACAAGGATGCTCCTGAGCTGTTATTGGCGATAGCTTTGCGGCCTCTGCATCCGCCACTGCACCATTTGGCATGGGGTCTACGAATCCAATGAATACTAAAAAGCATGTGAATCATGAACCACGTGAGCCTTATTTATCATCTATTTTATCGTAGAAGGGGCTACAAGTGAAACAGGAGTAATTTAAATTGATTTAAATTTTGTTTTAAAGCTTTCGTGACTGCAGGGATTCATATTCTTGGTTCTTTTGGTAAGTCCGAAAGAACCAAGAACAGGAGTAATTTGTTTATAAAATGACTACTAAAAAGAAATTGGGCTCGGGCTATAAAATTGCTGTATAATTCCTTTGTTATACGGCAGATGGCGCATTTGGTTAACGCCTTGGCATTTTTGTAAACAAGGCACAACCATGGGTTGTATTCAACTGAGGTTCACAGCAAGTTGTGGCATTGTAAACTCACGTTTTGGAGAATCCTCGAGACGAGCTAGAGCTGCAATCCACAATATGGGTCGTACAAATCGTTATTTGTGGATATGCGTGGCAAATTATCAAATTTATCGACCCTGGCAGGATGTTTAAATGAGTTTACTATGTGGTGCTGTGGGTTTCATCGCTCGATTCACCATTGGAAGGTTGCGAGGTCAAGTCCCAGTCACGTTTCCACTCAGCCCATCAGCCTGTAGCAGTACGTAGTAGAGCATCTGTTACATTGGGCGGAGTAGTGGCGCAGTGGTTAGTGCACTGCGATATTAACATGGCCACTGGAGTTTGATCCCTGGCCAAGGCTAACACCAGAGAGTGAGTTATATCTGAACTGGTTCTGGCCTCCCTACACCTCACCAACCAGGTGTGTTGAGTAAGGTGTATAAAACAATAGACGGAGATTTGCTTTGAGTCTAACTGCAGAATAATTCATAGGAGGGTGGAGAACCATTTTCACATCGACACTGCAAGCAAACGATTCACTCACAAGTCTGGTGAAGTATGGTAAAACAACCACCCATGACTGATATGGCGTGGGGAGTCCATCATTGACTAAGGGCTGTAAATTGTTATCGAAACATCTTTAATTGTTTCGGCATATAATTTAACATTTCAGTTCTTGAACTTATGGATACGTGAATAAAGATAAAATATGAGGATAATGGATGTGACCAGAGAAGAGGCACTACACGTAAATACATGGAGAATGAAAATATGAGCAGCCAACCAACCCCATGCAATGTGGAAGAGTAATATTTGGCGAAGAAGTGGTGCTCTAAACAAATCAACAATTGAACACCGATGAAATGCTCAAATAGCTCCACCCTACTGTCTGTATTATCGTGAGTACCCCCCAGCTGCTGTACACGCATGGCAGCTGAGGGGCGAGATATTAACTGCCTCGCCTTGTATACAGGAGGCTGTGGGTTCAATCCCGACCCTGACGCCTGCTGCTATATATTTGTTTAACACGTAGGAGGCTTTCGCGACCAATATCATCCATAAGAGGTTTTTGGGGGTTGGATCGCGTAAATATATAAATGTTGTGTTGTTAAAACCCGCCTCCACCCGACACAGCTAACTAGTAAGGTTTGTCACAGAACATGGCAATTCGTCACTAGTACAACATTTACAAAACTGAGCACTCAGTTTGTAAATGTTGTGGCTTGGCTCTCCAACACACCGGTGTGCTGTACTAGTGACGAATTGGCACGTTCTGTTTACGTGACAACCCTGACTAGTTAGTTGAATGTGTCGGGTGGTGGCGTGTTTTAACGACACATTTATATATTTACGCTATCTCACGCAAAAACCTCTTATGGATGTATATTTGTAGTTTGCATGTTCCCCTCGTGGTCGCATAGGTTTCTTTTCTGCGTTCTCCGTTTTTTCCCCTCCACATTTAGAAACATGCGTTTAGAGTATTTGCCTGCTATACATTTCCACATGATAAGCCACTTTTGTTGAGCTATCATTTGTGGCCAGGTCGCTTCTGAAAAAGAGCAATCGAGCTCAGTGGGCCTTACCTGGTAGAACAAAGTTTTAGTTTATTGGTCTGTGGTCACAATGCCCTTTCTGATGTTGCCCATGTCAGACAGACATACGTGTGCCCCGAGGAAGAGCATGCCTGGGTTCGGTTCCTGCTGTCTGCCGTCGACCACAACCTCGACAAGGTGCAGGCCCTCTCCTCCGACGTCTAAGGCGTAAGGAAGTGCGAGAGAACTCTCTGTATCACGCGCAGCTTGGTACTGTTGAACATGAACGACGAGGAGGGACGATTGGCTCGTGGAGCTGACACGGGAGGGCAGAGAACTTCGCCAGAGATACTGGGTTGAGATTCTGTGGACTGCCAGCTTCCACAGTGTAGAAAACATTATGGTCTCAAGCAACTTACTATTTTACTATACAGGATAAACGAAAATATTCCAGTTATTTTTACTTAAATCAGGCTGAAGGACTTGCAAGTAATATTTCACATGTGTGGAATAAACGGCTCGGTCTGCACAGCTGAACAGCACGGCCAAGATATTGAGTAAGAGAGACCCTTATAGGATGTCCAGTAATGCCACTTATGGGAAATTATACAACATGCATATCCTCTGTTTGTGGCAGGGATTTGGAATGGAAAAATAACACATTCTGTACCTAGATGGCAAGAGCACAATTGAGATGCAATTGTTGATACAAACAGTAAATATATTGAAACATTGAGACCATAACAGCCATATTTGCATACATTTGGTAAAGTAACATTTACAAGACAAGCTGAGAAAGGTGCATAATCTACAATAATGGATAGTGTGTATTTGCTGCAAAAAAAAATGTGATACCTTATTTTTATGCCAGTTTTTCTAAATTCTGGTTGGTGCCAAATACATTTTGCCATGCGCAGTGTGCCATATCAAGGGAAACTAATATCAATGCACCACAGGTTGTGGATGAAATGGCTGCTGAAGCGGCATTTGATGTAGTTCTGTGATGTTGTCTTCTGGGGAACGTTCCTCTACACAGTTGGGCTCACTGCATCATGATGTGCCCATAGCACAATCGGAATATAAATTGGCTGGGGTTAGTAAACAATATAAAAGGATTATATATACTAGTGAAAAAAATATGTCATAAAGTGTTTGGTGGCTTTGGTATAAGCGAAATATTTATTTATTTAAGGATTGAAACTTTGCTTTTCATGGCGACTTGGTCAATTTAATTTGTGCTTCACCACAGATTTTTGGGTTGGCCCACGTAATGATATGGCCCAAGCCAAAAATCAATTGGAAACCATAATTATGAACATTTTGAGTCCTTGTGTGCCTGTTCTTGATCCTCTATGCAGAGAGTTAATGCTATTTAGAAGTGGCTGAGGAAATGGCTCGATGCCTGTTATGATGCCATTGTGACAGACGGACAACTTTTGACTCACATCCTGAGCATCCACAGATGCAATCCGCTTCTTGTGTAAACGGGTCTGTACTCTTTGTCAAGCCACCCAATTCCTGCATTAGGAATTTCAATAAATTCCAGTTTTCAGTGTCGTTTATACAAAACTGGTAAGGGAAGCCAATTATATTATTCCAGGCTCATTCCTCATGTGATGCTCTACTATGTAGGATAATTACCTGGAATTTTTTTTTATTTGCCTTATGCCTTGATACCACAGAAGTGGCATGAGATTATTGGGAAAGTATTGTGTATCATATTGAGTCAGAAAAACACATTGATACGAGCAAACGTGAAAAGTGATGTACAAAATAAACATGACTTATCCACAGTTGCATGTTGAGCTGTGTTCATTATTATTTTGAATTTTTTACGTGAATATGAGCAATTGAGGGCAGACCGCAATCAAAAGATGATACCTAGAGGTGGGCCAGAGCAGCTTGGAGTGTTTTTGGAAAACTGAAAAGGTAGTGAAAAATAACGAGCTAATTGTTACGACGTGGATGCAAAGGGCAGACCGGTTCACTCGTGTGAGCCGTGGAACAGCTCTTTGGCAGGTAAAGTGTGAATTTATAAGAGCTTTGAAGTTCGAAGACTTAGTGGATAAGCGAGTAACTCGCTGTAACAGCATACAGACAAACTTATTGTGCCCTGTAGCCTGACCATAGGTGCCTGAGGCTGGGCCATAACCCGCAGCCAATGAGGGGCCGAAGTTGGCAACAAAAGTGAACGAGGCAGCTGAGGAGACGTGTAACCATCTCACAGACGGCAGCATCTTTCTGGTTCGTGTCAGGCTCGCGTCGCGCGTGTGCGGTTCGTGGTGCTGAGTGGGTGGGTATGTTCTCTACGTAAGGGGGTGTGTTCTTTGACAAGAGCCGGGATAGTCTGGACTACTCCAGCGACCTGTCATGGTTGGCCTGAAAATGACTGTAAAGGAAACTTCAGTGCACTGCTGCGAGGCAAAACCCTACCGCTGTGTGACGAGTTGAGTGTGGAGAAAGCAGGAAACAAGGGGGGAGGTTAAAAAAACAGGGCCCCAATGCAGAGATTCCAGCTGGACGCGGAGGGGTTTGAGTGAAGTTCCGTGGGATCAAGCCAAAGGTGGGGGGGGGAGAGAAATGTTTTCCGAGTTCATTGTATGCCAGGAAAAGTATTCGGCACAAAATATAGAATACAAAAACAGTGAATATAACACACTAGCTGAGAAACTGAAATACTTATAAGTCCAAAAATGTGTGACTGCAGCATCAGCTGGCTGCCTCTCCCAAGTTGTCTCTCGCTGGCCCAGTGGAGACTGATTTAGCTTCGGTTCTGCTGCCTTGTATATGTCTTGTATCCAGTCAACCAAAGCCTTTACTTATCGGACATGCTAAACAATCCAACGGGGATGTCTCCATTAAGCATGGGCACTATACACGTGCCTACCCCAATAGTTTCTAAACCACAATGGCACAGGTGGGTTAACCCCCGCTCACGATCAAACTTGTTCGGCCTCACTTGGCCAGCCTTAATACAATTGAAAATATCTTCACACAAGCCAGGAAAATAATCGCATCACCCTGCATGAAAGCCATGTACAATGTGCCCTAACATTGCATCCAATTCTTGATATGTGCGCGTGTTATGAATCGTGTTGTTATTATGGGCAGCTCATTCTACATAATCCCCAAAAGGGGACAGAAAAGGGAATTCGTTTGAAAATAAACTTAATTGTACGGTCATCTCATCTGCACACTTAGCGCCCTCCTAGTGCTTGAAGCTTAAGTTATGGTACGAATGTTCTGATTAATCAATGCATTGATGGATATCGATTTTTAAGCTCACCAATACACAGGATCATGTGTGTAAGGATGGCTTAATCGTGCTTCAAGTATATATCTTTGTACCTGATCGGTTCACGGAAACTGGGTAGACACATCCATTACTCCGATTGGCTCGGTTGGCTACGTACGGTGCAAAAGAAGTTCATACATACGCATACACAGTGCAACAGATAAAACTGATCATTGAATCAAATAGTGGCCCCAAATTGTGACAATTGACAGAATTGTGACAGATGATACATTGAGGCTGATGGAGCAAAATACAACTGTACAGACAAGATGAGCGGAGAATTTGTGTATTGGTCGAATCGTAACCCAGAATAAACAGCAATTCATCAAACTGCTTTGTTGAGGGGATACGAGTTGTTATGAACTCCAGGCATTCTGGATGAAAGCCCGATTACAATGTGTGGTAAATGTTAGTCTAGGTATGCGAACTTGGCCCAGCCAGTCCACAGCGTCGTCTGCATTGTTCAATGCTCTCAGTCCTCCATCCAGTGGGGTCAGAGGACGATCATCCACAATATGCCTCATCGTCGGCATTCGCAGCTTGGAGTATCCAGGATGCCCCATCTACTCAAATAAACGTTTTATTTTACCCGGCAAGGCCCACTGAGGTCGATTGCTCCTTTTAAAATGCGACCTTACCACGCAAAGCATAGCCCAACGAATTGGCTTATGTTGAAATGTAAAGCAGCCGACTACTCTTAAAATGCGTGATGTTGATTTAAAATGTGGAGGGAAGACAACTGGAGAACCCGGAGAAAAATCCACACGACCACGGGGAGAGAGACACGCAAACTCCAAATGTACAGCAGGCGTCAGGGTCAGGATCAAACCCACCACCTCCTGTGACGATGTGTGACGATGTGTGACGAGGGGGGGGGGGGTTGAGAAATGTGACGTCACGTCAAAAGGCGCAACTTTAAATAAATATAGACAACACGTTCTACTTAATTAAATGGACTTTTTAAAATAAATGTTTTCTCCTACAACATCAGAGTGCAGCGCCACATTAAATATGCACTACAATGACAATAGTTTAAAGAGATTTGAAGCATGTTTAATTTTTTTTTGGGGGGGGGGGGGAGCAGAGCTTTGTGACGTCATATTTGAGGGGGGTCTGACTTTTTGTGACGTCGTGTGACGAAGGGGGGGGTGTCAAAAATCGTCAAAAATTGCGTGACGTCATTTATGGGCGGCCCCTTACGGCACTAATTTGCTGAAGGTACAAAATGCAGTTGTGTTCCAAAAACAAGTTTATGCAATCAGGGTGAGCTGCCATTGTATGAGACACACCTTTAGACAACCAATCAGCCTGAACAGGGCTTGTAAAGCCATGTTACAGAACTCTTTGTACATAAATATCGGTGGTATAACATTTCACAATAAGCTTTTTCATTTTTCACACGAGAGAATATTCCAATATCAGTTTTACATAACCTTGTAAATGTATTTCACATTTTTATTGGTATGTTTTTGTACGTTGCTGTATTTCTGAATGAATGACGATTACTAAAATGTGCTTCAACATAAGTCTGCTGTCATCTTCTGCTATTAGCAACAGTAGAACAATTTACGACTAAAACGTGCATTTTCAGTGAAAGAAGAAACGATGACAGACTATGAAAACAAAGTTACATAAATTATCCGACTCCAGAAAACGTTTTGAAAAAAAATGTCTACATGGGTAAGAGCTACTTATATACAAATTGCCATTACAGTCACGTATCCAAGAACAGCTAAGAATAGCTGCTTCCTGTGCATCTTTAGTCGATAAGCAACCAAAGTCTCTTCAGGAAACGTCCGTGGCCATATTAATCGAGGGGAATTTAATAACACATCTAAAGATAACGTATGTCTTTTGACCAATGGGGAACAATCTTGCTGGAATATGCTCAAGCAGTGCTTGACAGCAGGCTACAGCCTCCTGATGAGACTCAGAAAAGGTGAAACCAGTCCACAGTTTGCCAGAACACGTGACTGCTGGAAGAAACTGGTACTGAAGAGGCCATCGGTCAATAGGCTTAAATTTTACGTTACGTCTGGAATTAAACCGATGTTTACATATGCTTGTACAATACAGTAATTTAATTCACACAGTATGAGTTTTCCTGACGCCAACCATGACCTTGTACACTCTTAGGCACAGTTACGTTTTATGGTAAATAATTTCAAATATTCACGTCATAAGAACACACACACTCAGCCGGGCAACCGGAGGACTTATATTACCAGTCATTGTTACGTGAGCGATCGTTATCTACAGAATAGGAGTTGGGGCGAGTTAAAACTATCTGGTTGCGCAATCCTGTAATGGTTCATTCCGAGGTAATGTTGCCTCACCAATTGCGGCATTCAAAGTGCACAACGTGAAAATGCCGATTACGTGAGGGAGTTTTGGATTTCTGTTTCCTACAACTTAAAATGCACTGTGCACACAGCACCTCCGCAATACAATACAGACGACTCTCGGTTATCCACGCTAATGACGAGGAGGACGGCGGCGGATAATTCAAAATCGCGGATAATCCAAAAAATATCCATTTTCCGCGGAACTCTGCCAAAAACCACTAATATAGATAAACATTATGTTTGAGTTTCTCCGCCAAAGCACAGTTTATGTGAATTAAAATAAATGATTGGCTAAAATCACTCAATGAAGCACAACTGACATTTTCGATTATTACTCTTTTGAATTAGAAAGAATACTGACGATTCGACCGATCGCTGCGCGTGCTCAGTGATGACACTTTACTGCTCCCACGTAGAAGACTCCGCCCACTAAGTGGCTAAGAGCAGAGCCACGCCAATCAACATCAAACTCCGCCCAATGTTGTAAAGATATGCAACTACTGTACTGTAGAGGTGATCGCGTGGATTTCGGATTAACCGGAGCGAATATTTGTTGGGTTAAAGCACGTGACTTGTAATAAACATTTCCATGAATAACAATGTATAGCTGGTTATAGTAATAGGTTTTACCCTTTTAACTGTCACAAAAACTGACACCTTTATTCAAGGAATCATGTTTGCAATAACCACAACACAAGCAGTCAAAATGCAAACAAAAGAGACAACTCTGATAATAATATGCACTGTCCTTGAATTTGATTGGTCCACACCCGAGACGGCTTTTCTTAGAGCCTAAGGTGTCAGTTTTTGTGCCAGTTAAAAGGGTAAAACCTATTACTATATCTTGTTACTGGCAAAGGAGGTCTCATAATGTATAAATGTTCTTAGATTATCAATTTGGGCTTAAGGGAAATAGCCACGAGTTATTAATTTGTAAAAATCTCAAGTGCGTGGCTAATCCGCAAATCAAATAAACCGCACGCGGATAATCAAGAGTCTACTGTATGACGGTGTCTTTTATTTAACTGGCATCTGAGATCCGAGTCAGCCACTGACCACGCTTTTATGTTCTGGTCAGCTACCAGGGTCAAAGTGTTTTCCACGTGAAATTAGATAATGCCGTGGTCCACTTGCTCCTGTCTGCGCAGTCACT